AAAAAAAAAAAAAAAAAAAAAACACTGCCTAGTGGGTGCCATTTTTGGGGAGCCACTCCACTGTTAAATTAGTTTTATTGTTTTGTTTTGACTATACCTACATTTACCTAAAGAACCTCTAGAGGGGCAGGAGAGTCCAGACCAAGAGCTCAACCTGAATAAAATGGATGATTCCTTTGGGGAGTGTCCAGCAGAGTGGGCTGATAAGGATCTGCCTTTCTTTTGTCCAAGAAGAATTTTAAAACTGAGAGCTATGAAAATTAGCAAGTACGTAAATTTGGACATATTTTTGAGTAAAAAGAGATTAGATCCTGTGAATGGTAACATCTCATGTCAGTAATTATTGCACAGTAAAGAACTTGTGACATTCGGGTATGGTAATGTTGATTTCTAGCCCCTGCTGTGATTTTTAAGAGAATGAAAAACAAGTGTCGCATGATCTCTGACAACTTGTCAGGAAGGTGTCTGGATGCTGGTTTTCTTCCCTGGTGTAGTCTCTGACTGGCAGTTGGCCTCTCACGTGTTTCTCCATCTGCGGATGAGGCCGGTACTGTTGCAGGAGAGAAGCGACGCTAGGATCCACTATTCAAGGAATAAAACAAACTAGATCTTTGCCCACTGGCCTGCTGCTAACCTTCATGAACCCCAGACTTTGAAAAATACATATCAGCACAGTTGTACTAAATGTTATTAAAATATATTATTGGGTTTTGTTTTACATACTTGACTTTAATACATAACTTTTCTGAAGTATGTATATTTTATAAAGTAAATTTTTTGTGTAGGTTTTTTTGATAGTAGCTTATATCTGTCATAGGTAGAACTGTGAATTGAACTATTAGTAATAGTTTCTTATAATATTAAAATATACTAAAAGTGATAATGATTATTTGTGTAACAAAATATGAAATAGTTTAGTCGAGTGGTTCTCGGAGCATGGCCTCAGGATCAGCAGCATCAGCATAATCTAGGAACTTGTTAGAAATACAGATTCTTGGGGCCCAACAGTTGATGCTTTCTCTGGTGCTAGCCAGAGTTTGAGAACTGCTGGTTTAAACATTAGTTAAGAGATTCTTGTATTTTTCCTGTTTATGTACTAGTAAACTTTAATGTTGTCAAGGTGTGCAAACCTACTGAAAATTGGATCTGGTATCAACAAATAACTTTTATTGACCAGCTCTTTATTTTTTTGTATCAACAGGTGACACTTGGACAGAAACATTGGCCTATGTGCTCTTCTGGGGAGTTGCAAGCATTGGAACGTTTTTTATTATTCTTTACAATGGCAAAGATTTTGTTGATGCTCCCAGATTGGTCCAGAAAGAAAAGATAGACTGAATTTGTGTTTGTGGAAAGCGGCTTGGCTTGGAAGATTCCATTATGCAGAACTGGAGTCTTTACTGACCCGCTTTCCACAGCAGCCGAGGTCTTTGTAATGCCTTTGTCCAAAAGCGCATCTTGTGCTCTGTGTGAGGTGATAACAGAATTGATCTGATGTTACTGCCTTGATGGTTTCTTTATTATTGGGAGAGTTATATTTATAATTTGAAGCTATTCTATAATTAAAATATAACCTGAATTCAGCTCACAGAATAGAAGCTGAATCTATTCATTAGATTCTATTCATTGTCCATTTAATCAACTGTTGCAGAATAAGTAATATATTTTAAAAAATCTAGCTTCTTTCTTTATTTAAAACAGTAAAATTATTTTTCTATCTCAGTTTCATTATTGTCATTGTAGAAGCAGTCACTGTTAGTTAGCAGGCATACTTTTCCACGTATCTCTGGACTTCTCATTAAAGTTTAATGCTAAGCTAACTATGTTTATAAAATGTAAGTCTCTTACAGACATCAAGTAGTTAGGTGATAATCTGTGACTTCATGGTAGGGAAGAGGGGAATGGGGTCTGGGGCTCTTTGACATTTCCAGCAGGCTGCCTCCTGACTTCAGTCAGCTCATACTGCTGGAGTGGGATGAAAGAGTTCAGATATACTTTATCTTTTTAAAAAGTTGTAAATAAAATCAAAGAATGTAAAGTCTATCTCCTATGCTAAAGGTCCAAAGCTGCCTCTGTTTCAAGGATTGCCCCAGTGTGGAAAATACCATTGACTTGTCAGCTGTACATTTTGATTCCTTCGGGGGTCACTCACTGAGACCTGCAGGCCTCCGAGAGGGTCTTGTGCTGGATTTGATGTTGCACTTGGGGCAACAGCTGCTTTTCCACGCATGGTACTATTGATGCTTTTCACTGTGTCAAGGAGTTTGTTGGCTGTCAATAAGTGTGTCTGAAACTTAGTGCTTCCAGGTAGTTATAGTTCTCCAAATCAAGGACCAACTTAAACTTTAATTTATGTGCAAAAACAAACCTTAAAAATATGCTTCAGAAGCTGTGCATATTTCTAATTGTAAGTCAGAATTGTATATTCAAGTTGTAATTATGGCATTTAAATATTAGAACAGTATGTAAGGTAGTATAATTACCACTATTTTAAAACAATTCAATTAAACACTGCTACAGTATTTCAGTGTTGTGCTTGAAAATATGTTCTGTCTTTTTCCAATAGTAATACCTTACGTTGTCCTTAAATATTTCTAAAAGCGCCTTTATTTCAACATTACCTTTTTTCCAACATTATCTTTTATAAACATTAATAAGAGTTGCTAGTTTTAAAAAATCTGAAGGAAATAAGAGCTGGAAAAACCCTCTGTAGCTTAAAATCAATCATTGAAACTAACAATAGAGTAAGTAAATGTAGCCACCTATTCGTAACATGTAAATAAACATAATTTGTTCCAAAGATGGAATATTGAAACTTAATTCATGTCTACTGTAATATATTATTTAAATGCTACTGGGCATTTCACATTAAGAACTTACGTCAGTAACTACAACAAAGACCAAATCTGAACTGCTAATGTGGCTGCTTTGTAGGGAATGAACTAATGTTGGTGTGTTAGATCTTAAAGTATCAATATTTCAGAACCCTGCAATGATTTTATTTCTAAATTCATGTACTATATACAGCCATAAGTGCAAATAAAATGTCATATTCTTTTCTAACTACTGTTTGTGTTGTTCCTGTACTTTATCTTGAAAGGTGATGTTTTTCTTTTTTACCGTGGAATTTAAAAAATCACATAAAGCAATGCATGATCATTATAAAAAAATTAGACAATATAAGCAAGAAAGTCAGTAGCTTCTGGAATGCTGCTTTCCAGTTCTGGTACTTAAGAAATTTTGTATACCCTTGTAGTTACTTTTCTAGTTATAGATAAGACCAGGGAAATACTTAGTAAGAGTATAATGTCCATAAAAAGTATCCCCCACTTCCAAATTGTAATTTGTTTTTCAAAATGATACAGATCTCGACTGATTAGTGGGAAAATATTGCTTATTAGAAAATTTTCTCTTCAGACCACAGGAAGCTGTCCCTGAGCATGAGGGAAATAATGATGTGAAAAACACCATTGTACCTAGGAGGCCCTCACTCATGTGGGAAGTGAGATGAAATTTCTTGGAAATGGCTTGCACGCTTGCTCGCTCGCTTTCTACACACACGCACATTATACATATATGTGTATATATTAATCTATATATATGCATTAGCACTTGCACTGTAGGTGAGGTACAGAGCTGGCACTGGAGGGAATCAGGTGGCTTCGAGGAGGAGGTGGGGCTTATGCTAGGACCAAGGTATTCTGATTATCTAATGCTCTGGAGCAAATTAGCCCAAAAGAGAGAAAGAGGGAAGGAGGGGTGGAGGGGGCAGAGGAGGGACACAGACACAACAGGTATGCCATGAACTCCCCACCCAAGGCTCCCCTGAGCCAGGGCACAGCCCATGCTGCTCTTGTCCTTGACTCCTGGCTGCCTTCCCTCTTTGGAGGAAGTGCTGGGAAAGGTGCCTTGCTTGCAAGAATTGAATACCCCAGCTCTATCTAGAGCTTTACCCCTTCCCTCCTTATGCTTTTGGGCATCTGTAGCACAGTTCTGAAGAAAAGAACCTGCACCTTGGAAGCCCGGGCTCTCCTTCCCAATGAGATTCCTATATCTTCCCAGAGAGATTACCATTAGCCTTATTATTTTTTTCACATTTCCTTGCATTTATTCCTAGTTTAGCACATGTTACACTAGATAAGTGTATTGTTTTGCTTTTTTTTTTGAGGGAGTCTTGCTCTGTTGCCCAGGCTAGAGTGCTGTGGCGTCAGCCCAGCTCACAGCAACCTCAAACTCCTGGGCTCAAGCGATCCTCCTGCCTCAGCCTCCTGAGTAGCTGGGACTACAGACATGCGCCACCATGCCCGGCTCAATTTTCTATTTTTAGTAGAGACGGGGTCTCGCTCAGGCTGGTCTTGAACTCCTGAGCTCAAGCAATCCTCCCGCCTCGGCCTCCCAGAGTGCTAGGATTACAGGCGTGAGCCATGACGCCCAGCCATGTTTTGCTTGGTTTTTGAAGTGTGTAAAAATGGTATTCTGTGTGTATCTTCCCACAGCTTGCCTTTGGAGTCAGCATTGTTTCTAAGGTTCATCCATGTTGATGGTTATAGCCGAGGTCCACTCCTGTTAACTATTGTTTACATTGAATGAATATATTATAAGACATGTATTCATTTGGATTTATTGATGACAATTCATGTTTTGTCCAGTCTAATACTCGTGGATATTTTAGTTGTTTCTGGTTGCTTGTTCTCATACGCATACTGCTGTGAGCGTTGCATATGTCTCCCAGGAGAAAGTGTTTCTCCCTATTGTATGCCCAGTGGTAGAATTATGAGCCTGAAATACACAAAATAACATGGCATTATTTTCTAAATGGGTTATGCCGTTTATATTCCTGCCAGTTCCACATTATCACCAATGCTTGGCGTTGCCTGACTTCCTAACTTTTTAATCCAGCAGGTGTAAAGTGGTATCTCACCCTGGCATTTCTCTGACCACTAATGAGATTGAGCATCTTTTCATAGTTTTGTTTTTGGCCATCTGTTTCCTCTTCTGTGCCTGTCGAGGTCTTTTGCCTGTTTCTGTGAGGTTTTTTATCCTATTGATTTGTTGAAATTCTTTATATTCTGGAGAGTTCTTTGTTGATTATGTGTACTACAAACATCTTCTCCCTGTTTGTAGCTTGTTTCTTCATTTTCTTGTGGTGACTTTTGATGAAAAAGTATCATTTCAGTGGTGTCGAGTGTTTTCCTAGCACATTGTGCCTGTGTAAGACCCTGTTGCTCAGCTCCAAGGGGCACCTTTTCATGTCGTTTTGCTTGTTCATTTTTAGGCCTTTCTTCCATCCGCAATTGACTTTGGGCAACGGGAAGGGGAAAGGGTCTGTATCAGTCAAGATAGGCCAGATCATGCTGTGGTATAAAATGATTCCCAAATCTCAATGGCTTTGGAAAAAAGTTTATTTCTCTCTCATACTGTGTATCCTTGACGTTTTCGATATAGCTCTGCTCCATGCCTGCATTCTGGGACCAGACTGATGGAACAGCTTCTCTTTGGAATATTGGCAGTTGTCCTGGCCGAAGGAAAAGGGAGAAGCTTCGCTGGAAAGTGACCCAGCATCTCCTCACGTTTCACTGGCCAAAGCTGGTCCGTGGCCAAGCCTGAATTCCTGAGGCCCTGAGAGAGCAGTGTTTGCCGCCGTCTGGCTTAGCGCCCAGTGTTCATTTCCCCCTCGGATCAGCCAGTTGCTAAGAATGCTGCTGAATCCTACCCTTCCTGGTCTGGAGTGCCCCCACTGTCATCCGTCACGTTGCCTCTACTTGTGGGCGTTGGGGGCTTTCTGTTCGCTTCCATTGGCCTGTGTGTTTTCACTGCTGAGAACTATTCCTCGTGGAAGGGCGCTGCCACACGCTCTGGGCCCTCCAGCTCCTCAGTCGGTACGACGAAGAGCTTGATGAGGTTCACTTTCCCGACGGTCTTTGGGAGTAATGTGAGTTCTATATGTTTGTAGTTGTTTTTTGAAAGCGGGGATCTGTGGTGAGAAACGGTTGTAAACATGGGATTGAACGGAAGTGTCCAAACTGCAAGGCCTGTCAGAGGTTTGAAAAGTGACTCTCCTAGAGGGGTATATACTGTGTCGCAACGCCCAAACGTTTCAGCTTATGGAATGTTTCATTCTCAGAGCATTTCATAGGATCTGTCTTCCATGGAGTTCATTCTTGACAAGGCTAGCATGGGGCAGAGTACTCAGGCCTCAGAGTTGAAAAACATGAGCTTTAACCTATTAACCTCAGTGGAGTGTTGGACCTGATGGTCCCTTAATTATAACTTTTTTGATTATTATCTATATGGCAGTTTCCTAACATGCACACACATGCACGCACATGTGCACACACCTGCTGAGAGACCCAGCAAATCTACAGCTGGGAGTCTTCTTTCTTTTCTTGTTTTCTTTCCTTGCCCTTTTGTTGTTTCTTTTTTGTTGGCGTTTTTTGCGGGGGTTCGTTGGTTTTGTTTTCCTTGGGGGGCCCATTTTTTAGGGGGTTAGGCCTTTTTTTTTTGCCGCGGACCCCCTTGTTCCCGTTTTTTTTTTTCTTCCCCTTTCCTTTTTTGGTTGTTTTTGAGCTTGATTTTTTTTTTTTTTTTTTTTTTGGCCAAGGTTTTGGTTTTTGTTTTTGTTGCCTTCGGCTTTTTGGTTTTTCCTTGCTTTTGGCCCTTTTTTTTTTTTACTTTTCCAAGGTTGAGTTACCTTCCTTTAAATTTTGTTTTTCCCTTTTCGTTCTTAATTTAGGTTGTTTTTGGGTTTGGTTTTAACCTTGGCTTTTGCATTAGGAAAAGTAGGAAGTACAGGTGGTACGTTATGTGTAGGAGAATTTAGGGTGTTCCTGCCGAGCTTCTGGGACCACACGTCTCCTGGGTTTTGTCCCGCTTTATTCACTGCTCCCTTCCCTGTTCATCTCTCCATCATCCCTCGTCTAGTTATCTGTTTCTAGAAAGTAATCTCACGATGTGAGTCAGGAATTCGGACATAGCTTGGCTGGGTGAGTTTTCTCTTCTGGATGGCACTGCTGGAGGTCACTTACGGTTTTTGGCTGACAGATGGGCTGGCCTGGTGCCTTAGCAAGGATGGCTGGAAGGTGGACTCAGCCAGTCCTGTGAGCCGGAGCACCTATGCGTGGCCTCTGCCACGTGGCAGTCCCTGGTAGTGGGACTTCATGAATGGCGGCTCAGGGTTCCAGCAAACCAGGTGGAAGTCGCATGGCCTCTTAACAAGCTAGCCTTGGATGTCAAATGGTGTCTCTTCTGTCATTTTATTTTGGTTGAAGCAGTCAGAAGCACACCTAGATTCAGGGGGAGAGGACACAGACCCTGTCTCTCCGTGGGAGAGGTGGAAAAGAATCTGGGGCCACGTCTGAAAACGTGTGCTTGTAGGCCTTGGTCTCAGGCCCTCTTTTTTTCTCCTCGTACACTCGCACCCGAGATGACCTCAGTTAGACCTGCAGCTTTAAATGACATCTCTGTACTGTGACTCCCAAATTTGTGTCTCTAGCCCAGAACGTTCCCAAAGCACCAGATTCTTAATATTCAACAGGCTACCTGCCATTGTCACCCGATTCACAGGCACCTCACACAACATGGTCACCAGAACTCTTGACTGATACTCTGCAGACTAGTTCCGTCCCCATTTCCCCTCTCAGGAAATGCCGCTAGATCCACCCCTAGGTCAAGCATTTTATTCCTCTCTTCCCCTCAACCGTGTATCCAGCCCATCAGCAATCTTGGCAACCTTCCCTCCAAAATGTAACCCAAACCTGCCTACTTTCTTGTCCATTTCCAAGTCCATGCTGCTGTCTTCTTCCATGGGCTTGTTACAGTAGCTTCTGGAGTGATTTTCCAGCTTCTCCTCCTATGCCTCTCTCCTCTCATCCTTCACAGCAACAATGATCTTCCAAGCATAAATCAGATCATGCAGACCCCACATTGGACGTTGCTGTGGTCTCCAAGGCCTCCTGTGACCTGGCCCCTGCCCACTCCTCCAAGTTCACCTCCCATCATTCTTCCCATTCCAACCACAGACCTCCTTTCTGTTCTTTTCTACCTTAGGGCCTTTGCACTTGCGGGCCTCTTCCTGGATGGACCTTCTAGGAATTTCAGTGACTAGTTCTTTCTTCTTCAAACTTCAGTTTATTTGTGAACTGAACTTCTTCTCAACCATTTGATTAAAGTGCTGTCCCTCTAAGGCCATCACGTTGGCCTATTTATTTCCTTCTTAGAAATAATCACAGTCTGTAATCATCTCATTTATCAGTCTCTCTCCTTTCCAGAATATGTCATATTAGTAAAAGCAAGGGGCCATGTTTGTCACCACTGTCCTTAGCACCTGCCCAGGGACTAGTTTGTAATATACCAGTTGAGTATCTCAAAAACACGCTGATACCATGCAGGCGGGTGGGCAGTAGAGAGAAAAGTCTTTCATATGTTAAGAGACTGGTCAAGAAATTCTGGTTAAGAATTTGTAGATGCACTTTTTGCCTTGCAAAGGAATATGTAATCTGTTTGGGGTTTCTTCTTCCCCTGACTGATGTAGGGTGGGAAGTCATGGGCTAGTTGATTCTCTACCCCAGCTTTTCCACCTATCGAATGAGAATAGCCATAAACTAACTTTCTCATGCAAAGTAACTCATACAAAAATCGGATACGATAGTTTACACCCTGGTCTCCCTCAGGTGAGGTCCTGAGGTCACGTTCACACCTAAAGTGGTTTTGCACAGCCATGGCCAAAGAGGTGCTGAGAGGTGGGTGTACAGCCCAGGACACTCTTAAAAAGGCTGGAAAGATTCTGCAGCAGTTCAGAAAAACTCACATTCTGTTGTAAATCCAGAAAATTAGAAATACTGTTTTCTAATTTTTCATATGGAATCTAGCATCTTCTTGTGTGATAGACTGCACCCCCCGTGTTGGTGTGGCTTCACTGGCTGCATGAGAAGGTAAACACAGAAGACGGTGATAGAAAAAAAAGATCAGATGGATTTCCCTCCTTCTTTATTTTCCCTTCCCTTCTTTATTTTACGTTTTTTTCCAAAATTATCTTGTGTGTTCGTTTACATAATGAGGGAAAAATCTTGTCTTGAGAGGTCTTAACTACAGCCAGTAAATGACCAAAAAAAACCCGCCCCCCTCCCCAAACAAATTGTAGACATACTTGCTTAGGGTTTTATTTACTATGACAATTGCTAAAAAAAAATACAAATAATTTCCTACTTGATTTCTTAGAGCTAAGTCAAGGGTCGCTATGTTTCCGGTAAAAATAGAAAGCATTTCAGAGTTTGTGATCTGGCCGTAATGTCATGGTGACTGTTAAGTGTGCAGGGATGGAATGTCCCTTTTTCTCTGCAGCTTACTGGAGGGTGGGTGGACAAATGTCAGTATGACCACTTTTGTGTAGTATCTAGGAAATAGCAAAAAAATTTTTGAGACAGGATTTACTGCCTCAAGAGGATTATTGGTAAACATGCTGCTCTTCATGAAGTTCTCAGAAACCAGACGAAAACTTAAACTTGAGACATTTTCATCTGAAGCACATTATTCCATGACAGTGGTGCCTCATCTATCTGATTTCCATGAGCAAAAATTATGCTGTAGAAGTGACTTTTCCATACATTTGGAAATGCTCAAAAATGCTTTCAAATTCTTAAAAGCCATTTTTGATGTAAATATTCCTAAATGTACCACCCATTTTCCTTCTTTCTTAAATGGGGCCTTGCCCTCAGATGTGGCTGCATTCTGGAATCACCTGGGGAGTTTTAAGAACTACTGAGGCCCAGGTCTTACCCCCAGCAGGCCTGATGGGTGGTCCCAGGCGTGGCCGGGGCATCTGGAATCTTAAATGCTCCCAGGTGGTTGGGATGGGTGGCGAGGTGGGGGACATTTACCTTCTCACTCCCGAGGATACCTGGTGTTCGGAGCTTACCCACCCTGCCTGATGACAGAACCCAGGAGACGGTGGTCCTGTGATATGAGACAGCGACCACATGCGGGGGCTGAGAGGAGGGGACAGGTCCTTAAGGATTCAGGAACAGACACTGTGCTGTGTTTGCCATTGAGGCGCCCACTCATCAAGCCTCGACATCTGGGGCTTTCGACACTAAAGAACCGTCTGGTGAGAAATCAGAAGCCTGAATATGTGTGGCAAGTACATGCTAGTTCAGACATTGGAAAGTCAAATGATCTTTTTATAACGGGACATCAGGTGAAGCTGGGAGTATTGAGGAGATGGTAGCGTGAGACAGCAGAGGCCTTTCTAATGCCTGTTTTTGCCATAGGGAAGTTTACAGCATAAAAAAAAAAAAGATATCTCCAGCTGATGTCCCAAGTGAGTGTTTAAGTGTCTTCAGAGATGTCTGTACAAATATACCCAGAAAGACTACTGAATTCCATGATCTCAGTGAAGCACTGTTACGTTATAGCAGGAAAGGACTCTCACTTTAGAGACCTACTTTATTGCAGTAAAAAAAAAAAAGACAAATTGGCGTGGTGGACTAGTACTGTATCATAAATACGGTGCGTTTTCAATTACAGGATGCTCTGTTTGAATTATATACATTTTAGAAAACTTATACACAGATAAATAATTTAAAATTGATTGTAAGTGATGTTTGTGGTCTTTATAGAGTTGGCCATGATGTCAAAAATATAACAGTAAGTCTGTGGGCAACTTGGATTCGCTTTCATCCTCTGAGTGGCTTCCAATACCTTTGCCCGTGCACTGAGACATCATGGGCGGTGTCCGCACAGACTCCTGCGGTTTGGGGTTGCAAACTACAGTGGGGGCAATTTTGTAGAGAGGGCTGCTTCTGGACCCACTGAGAGACCTTAGATTAGAGAAAGGTGAGCTCCTTTGGGGACCCCAAACAAAGGTCATTTTTCTTTACGATCAGTCAATCGTACTAGCATTTGATAGGGGGAAGGGGAACACAGATATTCTGTATTCACTATGACTAAAAAAAGAATTAATTTTGCACAAATGACATTCAAATATGTCATCTCAAGCACTTCAAAACAGAGTGATTGCCCTCTAAGATTTTAGAGTGTCTCTTCAGTAAAACACCAAATTGTTTAAATTTGGTCCCATAAGAATTACAGTCCAATTTCAGCTCACAATGTGCCCTAATTCTAAGACTGTCCTAGAATGGAGAAAAGCAATTGTCATCAAGACCGGCCTTCTCACCTGCCTCCCTTGGTGACAAGGAGTGGCGGCATGGCCTTCAGGGAAGGCTCAGGGAGGAAAGGCAGCTTCTCCCGGGGTTTGTCTCCTCCTGAGGGAGTCTTCTTCCTCCACACCTTCCTGATTCTTCTTTAGGGACTCAGGAAGTTGACAGGTAGGGTACTTTTGGCTAAAATATTGTAAAAAGCAGCCGACGAGGTTCTGCCTGTAAATAGTGTCTGTGAAACAGTGAGTGGCCAGGAAGCCCAGTTCTCAGGCCACCGGGGCAGGGTCTCCCCTCTTGAGGTGGCGTGTGATGAAAGTCCCCAGGGCCCCCAGGGGGATGCACATGGTGGAGGAGGCCACGAGCAGCCCGATGACAGCCAGTGCATAGGTGGGGTAATCTTTGGTCACAAGCTGGCCCTGAAAGGAGAGACTGAGCGTCAGCAGAAGGAACCTCTGAGAGCGCTGTCCCCACAAGCCTCAGGCCTCAGGCCCCCAGGCGTGGTGGAGAGGCAGTGTGGGGTGGGCAGAAAGCATGTGGGGCCAGGTGTCCTTACCCCTGGGCCACCTGGCTCTGCAGCTCAGGAGCCAGTAGGCCGGGATGGGGGGTAGGGGAAGGGCCAACTCCCCACACTCTCCTTCTCTGCCGTAAGCAAGGACTGACTGCCTGCCCAACCAGTGTGTGTATAGCTGTGGTTTGGGGCAACCCATGAAAAATGGCCACAGGAATAACAAGGGCCTTATGCTTGAGGCACCTTTCAGGGCACCCAAATGCAGGGGCTACCTTTAGTCCAGAATGGAACTTTCTGTGAAGGCAGAAATGTTCTGCATCAGTGCTGTGGCCGCGCAGGGCACTGCCCATTAGGTAGAAACTAGTGCATTTGCAGGGGGACTTATTCCCATCTCCCAGGGGCAAGGGCCCGGGAAGGCCTGGAGGGCACCTTACTCTCCTCCCTGCAGCACATACTTAAAAACCCAAAGCCCAGCTCTGCTGTCTTGGACTGAGTGTTTTTAAAATACCTTGGTGATGTTTCCATGTTGTGACAAATAACCCACCCACACCATGGATATCGTTCCTTGGTTTCAGAAAACTAAAGGCCTGAGTGACCTTGGGGGCCTGGTGCCAACCCTACAGAGATGGCAGATACCTGGGAGGCATCCCAGGCTTGGTACCGCAGGGTGCCCGTGAGGATGTAGTCGCTCAGGTAGAAAGCAAAGAGGCTGACAATCAGCAGCGGGCTCACGCCGGCCCACATGACCTTCCAGTACCAGCTGAGAGCTTGGCCATTCATGGCCTTCAGGTCACTTTCAAATCTGTTTGGAAGACAGGGAGAGTCTGGCGTATCCATGCTGCGGCAGGTGAGGGGGTCCAGCTCGCACGTCCCTATTTGCTTGGGAAGACTCTGTTCTGGGCACCACCAATGTTTGAACATGACCCCTGGGACCTTCTTGGGAGAGGGGTACTGGGGAGGGGAGAAGGGACGAGGCTGCCCGAGAGGGCTGATAGAGGACACCCAGATAAGTGGACATCGGAGGACAACTTCCTAGTGCCGGCCTTCAGGTGAGGGCTGCCAGCGTAGACCAGAAGGGTGGCCCCAGGAATGGTGGGAACAGGTGGCACGGAGACGTCCTTCAGGCCAGTTCTTAGCGTCAAGGGCCCCAGGGCAGCTTTGCTCCCCCAACACCCGGCTATCAGCGACCCTGCTGCCTGCTAGAAACACCCACAGAGTAGAATTTCTTTGTCCCCTGCAACCACAGCGGGTTTTCTGGGACAGTGTGAGGGCCAAACCTCAGACCCCTGACCTGGGAATGTGACATGCCACCTGCCTGAGGGCACCAGCTAGTGGCACATGAAGCCCAGACCCTGGATTGGCCTCCTGCCAATCTTTAAAACTGCTCTCCACAGCCGGACACGCAGCCGTGGCAGGAGGGGCTGGGGTGCGATGCGGTGTGACTGTCACCAGCTGCAGCCACAGCCACAGCCCCCTGCCTTCCTGGGACCTGTTGCCTGTCCTGGGTACCATGCAAGGCTCTGTAGAGACCACCACCTGGTCCTTGCTGCCGCTGACGTAGCTGGAGGGCTGTGAAGGCTCACCTGTGCAATGTGAAAGCCTGGGGCTTTCAAAACTACACGGGTCAGAAAATGTCAGGGTCCTGTTGTCCCATCACCACCCCTCCGCCTGTCTGCTTCCTGCAGAGAAAGCTGGAAAGAGTCAGACGCAGAAAAGCAGGCAGGACGCTGCAGCCAGTGGCCACTAGATGGCAGTGTCTCCTGAGCAAGCTGAAGGACCCTGCTGGGCCACTGGCCCCTTCAGGTGGTTTGCACACTCTCCAGGGCGTTTTTTCCCCTCCACCCCCATCACTTCCCACCTCCCCTTTTCGATGGACATGTGCGCCCTCTCCAGTGACCTCCGTGGGCCTGAGGTTTCACTCCTCTCCCAGCCTTCTCTCTTCTTCCTGAGACACTCGCCCTCTCAGGGGACGGATCTCTCTCTCCCTCCAGACTGGCATTTGCTAGGGGTTTTCCTGGTTTCAGCACTGAAAGTTCCACGTCCCAGGGAATCCCTCAGTGCTGGTCACCCTGACACTAGTGTCCTCAAAATGTGAGTAGCTGGGGGAGGGCGGGAGCGGGGGAGGCAAGGGGAGCATTACAAGGCCTTCCTTGACCAATTAAATTCCGAAAGTGCTGCAAATTATGGCCCCCTCTTTGAGATCCACAGCTGTCTTTGAGACTCTGAGAAATCCTACAGGAAAGACATTGATCTGGCTTTGTTTAACTTATGCCCTAAAATTAATTGATCCTGGGAGGTCCCTCAGCATAGCACAGGACCCTGGCCCTTCCAGGGACACAGTGGGACACAGTGGGAAACGCTGCTCGAGGGACACTTGCCTCCTAGAGTGTTGTTGCTCCCTCCCCCGGCACCCAAGCCAGCCTGGAGGCTCGGAAAAGACTGGGGAAGAGGCTGGGAAACAACTGGACATGCCCCCTCCCCCTCCTCGACCTCCCCCCACCCTTTCCCCCAGACCAGGCTCCCGTTCGAGCAGCGCTGCCCAAACTGAGATGAGCCACAGACGCCCTGGGCGTGTCGTTGACACCTGTACCAGACACAGCAGGACCGGGTGGCCTGAGATTCTGTCCTACCCAGCTCCCCGCTGGCGCTGCTCTGGGGCCGCACTCGCACTCGCAGTACTCACTCTCTACACCGGTGTTTCTCAAAGTGTGGGCCGCGACTGACCTGGGAACTGGCTAAAAAGGCAGATTCTTGGCCCTCACCGGACCTGCCTAATCAGAACCTCTGAGTGTGAGGCCCTGTGGTCAGCTTTCCCAGCCCCTGGGACTGCTGGCGCACACCTCAGTTTGAAGGCAGCTCTAGACCCCTGGTTCTCGCCCAGCTGCACCTTCCGTCGCGCGGGGAGAACTGACACATCCCAGCGCTGCGCTGTGCACCAGGATTCAGAACCTGACTACATTTCAAATTTGCCAAATTATCGAAGGTATCAAGTGGGTTTGGGGCACGGTTCTTGAAAACTACTGCTGTTGGCCGATGGTCAGAGCATCTTGTGCCTGGAGGCATGACCCCTGCCCCAGTAAGCTGTGGGGGGTCCCGCAGGGTCAACCCACAAAAATCCCACCACACACAGCAAAGGCACAGGAGACAGAGAGAGAAGACACTGGTTGACGGCAAAGAGAGGGTGGAAGCGAGGCAGGGAATTAGCTGAGATCTGAGAGCAAAGAAGAAAAAGAACGTCGACACCAAGCCTAAAGAAGTGGCCGCACAGTGAGAATCGGATGTTTCTCCTGTGGGCTGCGTTCTCCCCGTGCTGCGGGGGCCGAGGGCTGGGTCTCCTCACCTCCTCAGCCCGTACACGAAGCACACAGCAATCGTCTCCACCAGGACAATGAGCAGCAGGGACAGTGTGGCCGCGTAGTCGTTGAATATGTCGAACCAGTAGTTCCCGGCCTCCATGGTGAACACCATGCCCACGGCACAGTTGATGAGGCACAACAGACCTAGGGGCCGTGAGACCGCAGGCTTACCTGCCTGAGACTCCCTACCTGGTCCCCAGCACTCTGTGGGGCAGCAGGAGCCATAGGCCCCTAAGGGGACTCCAGCCAATTGGCTCATCCACAGGGGTTGGAAGAGCAATCATGGTGTGGCCTCCCTGGAGGTGTATGCCGTGGGTGCTGGGGCCACAGAGGTGCCCCAAGGAGTGCCAGCAGGGGTCACAGATGTTAATTCACTGAGCTGCCTTGCAGAGGTGGGGGCTTGAGCTCAGCGGGAAAGCAGAAGTGGTGGGCACAGCTATCCCAGGAACCCACCCAGGCTATGGGTCTGGTGACACCATTTAACCCAACGACTCAGCCCCAGAGCCCCAGAGCAAATGGAGGGACAAAGCTTGAGTATGGGCTGCCCCATCAGGACTTCCTCGGGAGGACTCGTATCCAACCAGATGGCGTGGGGTGGGCTGGGCAAGAAGCTAATGTTCACCCATATGCTCTTACATGCCAGGCACTCGCCATGCGTCAGATCCTTAGGCCCCTTGCATAGATGGGGAAGCCAAAGCTCAGAGATGTCAAGTAATGCCCCCAACATCCCTAAGCACATCAGTGGCAGGATTCACACCCAGGCCCTTGGACCTGGGTTTTTGTCCCAGTGTCCTTTGGCTTCCTCCCTTGGGCACCCCCTGAATGTGTGAAGCTAAAGCTCTAACCTGCCCTTTCCACCACCACACCACACACTGGCAGCCACGGAGCCCCACCGCCATGCTGATGGGAACACACAAGGAGAAAGAGGTTACGTGCCGGCCCAGGAGCTACAGGCACACGTAGTGCTGGTTGCAGAGACCAGGTCCAAGGAGGAATGCTAAGTATAGCAGACTCTGGAGAAGTGGGAGGTGAGAGGCCGCAACTGGGGTAGTTGGGACTTGAAGGAGAAGGGATGGGAGCTGGGTTTGATTCGTCCTGGATGCAGAGGAATGATGTCATCAAAGGCAGAGGGGGTTGGCCACAGGGTCCTCAGGAACGGAGCAGATGGGTGGTGGAGTGAAACCATGAGAGATGTTTGGAAAAGTCAGTTCATTCCCTAACAACCTAAATGCTCAACAACAGCAGAATGGATGAAGAAACTGTGTATGTGCTTTTATCATGGATTACTGCACAGGCAGAAAAAGGGACAGACAATTGCTGCTTGCAACAACATGGGTGGATCTCACAGACAGATTTCGAGTGAAGACAGCAGACACAAGAGTATATGCTATATGATTCCATTTATATGAAGTTCAAGAACAGGAAAAAAGCCATAAAATGTAGAAGTCAGAATAGAGGAGACCCCCAAAGGTGCAGATGGCTTGGGAGGGGGGTGAAGGAGCTCTGTGGGCTATGGGATGTTTTGTCTCTTGACCTAGGTCTGGTTACTGGGGAGGATACATATGTAAAACTCATTGCGTTTGTACTTAAGAAATGTACACTTTATAATTGTCATACTTCAGTTAAAACAAACAAAAACAAAAGCAGGTTCTACCCTGGAGGGCTTTGAGTGCCAGGTTGGGGAGTTGGGCCTTTTCCAAGGTTGGAGTGGCCACTTCACTTCCCTGTGATGTGGACAAGAAAAGACACAGGGTGAATTACAGGGCCTGAGTCCCTGGATTCTGAGGAGAAGGCATGGCAGGACTGCGGTCAGGTTGCTGCAGCCCTCTGTGGCCACATCAATCAGCATATGGCCCTGGAGGAAACTCACCCCCTGCTCACCCTGCTCCCGGCCCTCCCCGGACCCCACCTCCTCTGCTGGCTGCCCACTGACCTGAGATGGCCTCCTTGGGCAGGTGGCTGGAAATGACCTTGCTGTCAGTCAGAGGGGTGAGGATGGCCGCCGTGTTCCCCAGCATGCTCCCAATGCCCAGAATCAGCAGCATGAAAAAGTAGAGCACTGACCACAGCTGGGACACCTCCATGTTCTTAATGGCCTCGCTGTAGACAATGAAAGCCAGGCCAGTGCCCTGGACGGCCTGCCCATGGCGAGAAGATACCAGTTACCCACACAAAGAACTTACAGTCTCCTTAAACACATCTGGTGCTAAGCAGCTTGGGTGACCTTGGAACTAGCCACGAGCTGCCACATTCTGAGGCTAGAGCTTCCATCTGCAGACCAGCTCTTGGGCTCACCTGGCTGAAGAGGAACAGGAGCTGCCAAGAGTTCACACATGCAAAGTATGTGCAGAACTTTCAGTCAGCCTGGAACACTGGGTCCCCTTCTTCTGCCCCAACTTATGTAAATTCTGAATAAAATATAATAAACTAATGTTTGGATAATTTCTGCTTCCAATGTCATGACCAACTAGGTGTTCTGAGACCTGGGAACTGAGGAGGATGGTAGGGCCAGGGCAGCAGGAACCCTGATGGTGGGGAGCCGGCTTGGCCAGTAAGTGGGGCAGGGTTGTTGGTGATGCTGTTGCAGAGACAGCATTATGGAAACTGAGCCTGGAACTCCTGCTTAAAGACAAACCCCTCAAGGGAGTCAAAAAGGGTCAAGTATTGGACATCCTCCCTGGCTACCAGCAGAGAAAGAAGAAAAAGCAAACCCTCCTTTGGGGAAGGCTCTCCAGTTTAGACCCACAGGACTCCCAGAGATTAAGAGTAAGCAATGAGGGCCGGGCGTGGTGGCTCACGCCTGTAATCCTAGCACTCTGGGAGGCTGAGGCAGGAGGATGGTTTGAGCTCAGGAGTTCGAGACCAGCCTGAGCAAGAGC